TGGAACTTGCTTTGAGAATCTCTGACTCTAGTTGCATGCAATGCTGTTCCAGCCGCTGACAAAAGTTTGAAAAAGAGAAAGACCTCACCCTTTCAAATGGAAGCCTTTCAGAACACAAATCCATATGACCAGTCTGGTTTGAGAATGTTTTCAAAACACAATAAACATTTGCCTGCCTCCTCTGTTTTCTAAGTTTTCATGACTAAATTCCCAAATGCCCCTTAGGAACCACCCCTAAACAAATTTCAGTTTTATTTTCATCAAACTGGCACTGCATATGCTGAGCCCAGATAGGCCTCTCTCTTGTTATCTCTTCTCTCAGTATCTTGTGCTTTCACAGTTGCACAAGTAATTAAAACCTGGGGGTAATAACCATGTCTAGATCACATTTCTCTAGATTACTACAATATGCTGGTATGCAATCATTTGTGAAGTATGTCACATGTTTCCCTAAAGTTTTACTATTAGAGTACCAAAGTTGGCTAATGGCTCACTTTTTATAAATTGAAGCAATTCAGAATTATCTCTGTAATAATGTCATTCTTGCTCAGCTTGCATCTGCTACTGTTATTGTAACCCTATGTATGCCACCAGCAGTAAGTGATGTGCTTGAATGTCACCATCATATGTTTCAAAATGGAAGAAGGTTAAGAGCTATTGCTCCAGTCTGTCAAACTGAGGGCTTGACCATCACCTTAGGTCCTGGTAATCACATAAATGGCAACTACTTGATCAATGAAAGTCTATTGCTAATCTCTTCTCTTTCTTGCATAGCATTGTAAGGAATAGGACTTGGAGACAAAAGAAAGTAGGAGTCAATCACAGAGTTATATGCAGGCTGTCTGAGAACACATGAGTCTACGGCAATGGTAGGTGTCTGTCATAGAGGCCCACTCCAGTCCTGAGGAGGCCTAGTCACTGCACATGCCTTGCTTATATTCTTGGGCTTCTGTGGTTGCTCTGAAGGCAAAAGCCAGTCCTAACAGAGTCAGTGAGGTGCAAAGAGGCAACTGGCATCATTGGATTGAAGTTTGAGTGTGAACAGGGATGGCAATGAGAAAGGACAGCAGAAATGAAGATGGAGAAATTATCACCAGTCAGCATTGATGAGCATCTTTGTTCAATAGAGCACCAAAAGTGGTTGGATATTTTCAGAGAGACAACTCTCTCATACCTTTCCTTAAGGTACAGCAGAGGCAATAATATACTGAGAACAGATGGAACATTGTGAAACTAGGACTATTTTGTAGGTAATGGAAATGGCCAGAGCAAAGAGGCTGTGTTCCCCTCTGCAGTGCTGAAGAAGAAAGAGTGCCCCTTTAGGCCAATGTTGTTCTAGTCTCTGCTGGGAGGACATAGGAAAAGGTACAAATCCCATTTATTTTGAATTTTTTGAATTCTCCAGATCAGAGAGCCCAATTTTATCGAGTTGAAGGGAAGGAATGGTGAAAACACACAGAAAAAAGGGCTAGGAATTTAAAAGACAGATTCTTTGAGTAGGGTCTTCAGGCACATTTCATTCACTCACTGGGCTGGGAATTGCCAGAACTTAGATTGGTTGCAAAAGCAAAAGTAGTAGAGGGGAAAGGAGAGATGGACAACAAATAAGTTTAAAAGCATGCAAAAAAAATGTAATGACAAAATGAGAAAAGTGTGTGAAAAGGGTGCAAGAGAATGACAGTGTGGGGAGAATGAGAACCTTTCTAGACTAGTGGGCAGACACTCCTGATAGTGATTACTGCCTATCAGCTGTATAAGCTGGAAGAGCTGTATACTTTGGTAGCTCAAATAATTCTGTGCATGTAATAATAATAATAACAATTTTCTTATATTTAAATGAAGTTCCTTTTAAATATAAGGAAAGTACTGGCTCAACAGAGATAAAGAAAGAAATAATAATAGTAACAATGCTTATTGAGTGCTTATCATGACTTCTTAGTGATGTTGGCCCTTCCTCATCTTTCAGTTAGAGATCAAAAAGTAGAATGTCTCAAAGGGGTGGTCCTCACTGGGACAAAGGGAAGGTAGATACTCATATTTGTTTTCTATAGCTCTGTAACAAGTTGCCACAGGCTTAGACATAGAAATGTACTTTACAGTTCTGTAGTTCAGAAGTCCATAAGGGGCTACTATCAAGGGGTCAGTAGGGCTGTGTTCTTTTCTGGAGGTTCTAGGGAAGAATCCATTTCCTTGCCCTTTGCAGCTTCTAGAAGTCACCCACTTCTAAGAATGGGCGAGGAAAGGCCCTGGCCCCTTCCTCCATCTTGTATGCCACATCATTGTATCTCTCTATACTTTTCTTCTGCTTTTCCTCCTCTCACCAATGCTCCTGCCTCTTCCCTCCACTTTGAAGGGAATGTCATCCCTTGTGATGACATTGGGTCTAGCCAAATTGTCCAGAATCATATCCTTATTTTAAAGTTGGCCAATTAACAACTTTAATTTCATTTGCAATTTTTATTTTCCCTTTGCCATATTTTCAGGTTACTAATATGTCCACAGACTTCAGGGATGAGGACACAAGCATCTTTGGAGGGCCATTATCCTGCCTACCACAACTGAAAATAAAAGTGGAAAAAAAGGCGAAGGCTCTTTGCCCCTTCTGGAATTCTCTGATCACACTTTGCAACTCGAATGTTGTCTTTGTTCTTATTTTATGTAATCATATTTGTCACAAGAGTTAAATATGCAATATCTGAACTATATAATAATAGTTTTATGTGAACATGGACAAGAGACAAGGCATTTACCCCAAGCTTCCCTATTTTTAACATGACAGGGCTGAAGCAGACAGTCTAATAAACAAAAACTAGAAGGTCCCCTGTGTTTCTACTCTGATGTTTGAAATATCCATGTCCTTATAGATTATATTACAAAGTGTGGTATTTCACTGACACTGGGTATGTCTAATGAGCAATCTAAAGCTACATATCCTTATTGGGGAAGTCACTCTTGTATTTAACATATTCTGCCAGCAGTGATGAGGTCTTTTCACCTCAGTATCAACACATTTATTTTGTGGATGTACAAAACATATGAAGGAATCTGACTTAAAAAAAAAAAAAACCTGACTCCCAGCTGATGGCAATGTGCAAGGTACTGCATCTTGTCCATGTAGCATGGTCAGTCACTTGTCACAAAATTTGTTGTTGTTGTATGAGCTTTGGAATTACACATACCTTAGAACATTAAAATTCCTTATGTTTATATAGTACTTTTGAGTTTACAAAATGTTTTCGTATGTTATTTCATATGATCCTCTATAACAGTGTCCTGAGATGGCTAACATGCAGTTCTTTAAAATGGGTGTATTTGTAGGGTTAACTGAGTAAACAGTTCATCACAATTCTGTACAGACTTCATATGCATTCTTGATCAGTGGTAACAGAGGTACCAAGTAATTTATTGGCAAACCAATCTCAAGCACTTGATTAAAACACAGACTTATTCACTCACATGCTGCATATGTGGCAACAAAGTGATCAGACATCCTTTATATTTTAAATTGGACATCATCTTAATGAGACATCTCACACTGCCTTTTATCTTTACTTTTGAAAGGAAATGTGTTCATGGAATGCTCTCAGCACTTTTAATCATACTTTATCCTTTAGACATTTTTCTTGTCTTCTTGTAGTCTTGATATATGTTATTCACAATGCATCTTTCTAAAATAGAAATATACATATGCAAAAATTCCAAGAGTTACAGTATTGCAACCCCACATCAAGATGGGATTGTTGTTGCTGTCTATATTAGCCTTCAATGTGAAATGGTTCCCCAAATTATTTTAGAAATCAATAGTTTTTCAAAAATAATTTAAACAACCCATTTGTCCTTCTGCATCTCTAGTTCTTCAGTTTATCTGCATAAAGCAAAGGGGAGACTTTTAGATGAATTGTAAACTCATTTAATTTCCAGACGTTGTCTAGTGTTTAAACACTGACATCAAAGCAAAGAGCCAATTATCAGAGTTCATTTGATCTGAAGCCCTGTTGCCTGAATTGCTATAGTTTTCCTTCTGCTGAAAAGGAAATCTGTGTCACATTGCAAAGATGTAGTATTTAAAATCACTTTGTCTATAGCAGTTTAACTTGAAACATGTGTTTGGGCTCACTAACCACAAGGAGGCATTGAAGCATCTCTTCAAAATGTGAAAAGCAATTTTATTTAAAAAAAAAAGTTGCACCTACAGTTGCTGAGTTTCATATAAGCAATTGTACCTGCTTGTGAGTATGGCTTTTAAATTCATGCTTTAATCCACTTACATATATTGCAATCCCTGAAATATCAACAGAAAGGGTTGCTGCTGTTATTTCCTTTGTGGAAAATTTTTGGACAATAGTCACCCACGTGTGTTTTCCTTCTGCTCTGTTCCCAAAGGATATGAAGGCAAATGGCAGGGCTTTTGTGAATACCGATAAAGTACTGCATTCACGGCAATCTCTTTATTGCTCTTTAACAACTAAAACTTCTTTTGATTGTGTGAGTGGAAGCATATTTCTTTAGTATTCAAAATTATTTAAATACATATTTCTGACAACAGGAGGTTTCTTTGAAATCTGTATGTCAATTTAGAATGGTTCTAAGACACATCTTCAAAATACCACATAGGAAACTTAAGTTAAAAGGCCAAAACATGTTTGTTTGTCTGTTTGTTTTAACCCTAAGCATAATTTTCTCTTATATGCGCTTGTGAACATACCTGTTAGGTGTCAGAAAATTTCCCCATGTTTTCATGATCCTCATTCCCAGTTGCAGGGCTGCTGAATATATGAACCTCTCTGTTGTAGAATATGCTGCTTAGCACATCTTCCAGAATAATGATTAATCCCCTGCAAAGCAAGAACCTCATTCTTAGGAGTTAGATTGTTTCTGCAAGAGGCTTCCGAGAAAATTCTTTCCTGGAAAGGTGGACTGTGACATTTTGAAATCCTAGTGTTCTATTTTGCCATACTGACTTGCTCTTTCCGGGTCTTGACACCTTGTTTACCTTTTAGGATATGCCCAGCCAATGCGAAAAAATATTGCTGACTTCAACACACAGCAGAACATGCAACTGGGGAGACTGTGTGACATCTCAGGTACTGTAAACACTTTCACACAAATGACTTTTTGAAATATGGATGTTGCTAAAATGCTAATTTTTTTCTTCTGCAAGGAAAAAGCCTGGATTTCTAAATCTACTTGCAGGGCAATTGAATGCTTTGTTTTAAAGACGAGAGATTTATAGTGAAGTCAATTTCAATTTTTCTAAATGACATTTTGAACCAATTTATTTGGGTCATTTTCTAAATTCTCCTTACTGCAGGTTTGAATAAGAATTTCTTTCCTATGGCCTCAAATCTTCTCAATTTACTGACTCTTGCCGTGAGTGAAGTCAACATTTTCTATTTGTCAATATTGTCTATTCTCTGAGGAATGAATACAATTTAGTGCTAAAAATGAAAACCATCAAGTTTTCGTGAAAAAAGATTTTAAAAAGCTTTTATGCAAATATATATCATTTAGTTATTAGGAAATAAGAGGTGCTAGGAGAGAATTCTTAATAATCCAGTCATTAAGCGATAGAGATTTATAAAAGTCAAGTTCTAGGACTGTTTTGGTCAGTTCCAAATTAGACACCCCTCTGGGGCCAGGAGAGAAAGATGCAAGAATAAAATTTGGGTTGCTATTGTTCAGGCAAGGGTCAGGTTAGGCTGAAAGAGTGGAGGTTGCAAAGGCTAAGCAATAATACAAAACTGATGTGGGAGGAACTGGCCAAATATTCAGGGTTAAACAAGAACTAGATCTTTATTAGTTACCAAATAAGAAGATCTTTGTTTTGTTAAAATATAATTGCTTTGGCCCTTATTTAAGCTAAACAAGGAAGAATTTTAAATTATCAATGACCAACTTAGCTGGATCCCTGGAATGACATACTTTACATGATTCATATATATTTCAGCATCATTATTATTTTATAAATGCCATTTGGTAACAAAAATACATCAGTACTAGAAATTTACAGTGTCCTAAAATAATAATAGTGTAATTGCTTTAATCTATTATCTAGGCACTAATATTGTTTTTCAGCATTACAAAAAAAAAAATTTAATGACTTGAGATTGATTTGTTAGTGCTGAGCTATTTCAACTAAAAACCTGACTGGGTGGAAACCACTGAAGTGCAGCAGAGGGCAGACTTTGCTCTAATTTATTAGAATTAATTTTTTTCATCAGCTTTTTATATACACTTCTATATATAGTACAAACCATCACCAAAGAATTTTTTTACAAAATATTCTCATTATTGGAAAAGACTTGAAAGAGTTAGCCTTCTATTTTAAATAATTCAAGAATTCAGTGCATGTCTACCTGCAATGGAAAATTTTGCTAACATGAATGTCTCTCAGAAATTATGAATCAAATGCTTTTTCCTGGTACAATATCTCAGGATATAGCAATGCAATCCTAAAGATTCTTTAAGAGGAGTGGTGAAAGTTTAGAAATAGTAGCAGAAAAATACTTACTTACAAAATAAATACATGGAGAAACTAGGAAAACCAGTAATTATCTTGTGGAAGAATATATGATTGTCTTTTTTTAAATCCCTTGAATTTGTAGGAAAGTTGTTGATTTTCCTACTTTTCCAGAGAAAACAAAGAGAATGCAATTTTATCGGTGAGGCTTGTCATCCAGATATTGACAATGAAGTCAGGGTGTCAGAGGAGACCATCATGGCTAGGATTTTCAGTTCCAAGATGAGTGAAGCAGGAGAGTAGCTGACATTGACTATTAACTGGCAATCAAATCAACCTTCATCTTGATATGAATTCCTTTCCAAAAATACCTGTCAATTAATTTTGAACTTTTGTAGATTCATGACCAAACCACACTGAAACTGGATATTAATGTCAGTGATGTGTCTTCCGTTTACCAAAATGAACAGGAAAGGGAAAAATTAACATGATTTGTTACCATTTGTAACCTAGCAATTTCTCCCAAGAAAAATATTATTTCTCCATAGTAAAGACTATGGAGTCTTTTTTTTTTTTTTTTTGTGGGACCCTCCGGCTGGGAAATGAACCGGTGCTGCAGAGGCTGCGGGCAGCCTCACAGCCCAACGCTCAACCGCTGCACCACCAGGGGAGGCCTGACTATGGAGTCTTTAGTTATTTTCATTGTTTTGTGTATGTGTCCCTTTTTGTTATATTTAAAAAACATTAGTTTGATCTTAAAAAACCACTAGTTTGGTAAGACACTAGTCTCTTCTTAAAAATACAAGACTTGCGATAGCTAATTTGATCATTCAGCAGTCAAATATAAGTTATTTAACTACTGCCTCTTCCATTAATTTATTGTAAGGTGGCAATTTAATTTCAAAATTTTAAAAAGGAAGCACTTAATGTGTGCATTTTTGGAGCACCTACTCTGAGCCAGCTCAGAGTACTTGCTTCCAGCCTCAAGATGCTGGTCTTGGGAGGAGGGGTTCTCCTGCACTTTCTGGATCTCACTACTTCTGTGAGACTTTCCACTTCCCTGGTGGATTCATTCTCTCAGATCACTCCCTCCCTCCCAACTACCCACAAGTAATTATTGAGTAGCCCCTGCATATTCTACGTTATATGAGGTTTGGGGGACTATAACAATGAGCATCCACCTTGCCTTTAAGGAGTTTGGAGGCACAAGAATAACAGATTCTAAACAAGATCAGGAACAACTCAGGACAATGTTTCATGATGCTCAGTCTTGAGGCACTGGTTACAAGGAGCACGAATGGGGGTGGCTGGGAGGGGAGTCACCATTTATCAGAATGGGCCATGGGCATATTTGTGGATCTGTACTATTTGTTGAGCACCTACTATGTACCAGAAACTGCTTTATGTATATGCTTTCATTTAATACTGTGCCCAAAGTGAGTTACTCCCAAAATTCTGTGCCCCAAGTGAGTTACTCCCCATCATATAGATGAAGAAACTAATGCCTGGGAAGGTAAAATAATGTGCCCAGAGCCATGAGGCAGCTGAGCTAGAGTTTAATAAGTCTATGCTCTGTATACTCTGCCAAACCGAACAGAGGAGTCTTAAAATCCGCTTTCAACCCTACCTGACTGAAGAAACATTTCACAGGACCCCCTCCTCTGACCCTTCCAAGGCACTTGGGCTGCATGCTTCATGGTGCCCACTATTCACCATCACATTTTATGGCCATTTGTGCATGTGAAACGGCTGCTCCTCCCGGCAGCTCTCATTTGCTTGGATGCCTGTAGTTCCCTCCACGTCTAGCCAAGTGTTTTGCCCCTACTGATCAGTTAGTTACTTCACAAATGAATGAATGAATGAATGAATGAATGACTCCATTGGCTGCTGATTTTCTGTCGGTACTTGCTAAAATATTCTGCAGCCTGGAGTGGGTAATCTCATCTCATTATTCCCTTTGGATGGGATATTTAATTAGGATTTCTTTCCATGTACATAATAAGAAGCACAACTTAAGACAGAGAACAGTTAAATTAAGACAGTGTTTCCTTTAAACCAAGAGTCACTAGATGTGCTATTTAAGTGATATAGTCTTCTTTGGGAATGGAGCAAGGAAAAGGTTGGTTTCTTGAAATAAACATTACTATGGTCATAATCAGACCATTTATTTGGACAGGACATTCTCTGAATTGGCCCCGCCAAGTCCAGGCAGAATAAGAAATTGCAATTTCATCAGCTTTCTAAAGTTAATAGCTCTGTTTCATAATTTACTGAAGTTAATGGGATAAATTTTTAAAGCAGTATGCAATTCCCATTGATGTTAATGGGAGTTCTGGGGCTAAATTCCTATGTATTATTTGAAAGTACACTTCATGGTACCTCACATGATTCCTCCTTCTGAAGGAATCATTGTGTCTATTTTTTCAGTGGTGGTGGTGTCTTTTCTTTAGAGAAATGCTAAAGTGCTAAAAATCAGGTTAAGTTGTTAAGATTTGTATGAAACCAATCTAAATTAACTTCAGATATGACTTTTTGGATATGCTTTTTATCTTAAACTGCATAACATTAATCCAGTGCCTAAGTTCACAGTGTCATTTACCTTTGTACCAGTAATTAACATTGTGCCTGTTGTTTTTAGATGCCAATGTGAGTGTCATCTACATCTGTTCCCATCATATGAATGAAGAGTTACTGCTGTACTACCATAAAATCTTGAGTCTACAGGCAGCTGTCAAATCAGGAAACCTTCAGGACAGAAGTGACCTGCAGGACAGGTTCAAAATCATCACCCCTGAAGCTGTAAACTTCTTCACTGTGAGTTTGTCTTCTAATTACTATGGCTTCAGGGATGCAGTAAAATTTAATTGGAAATTTTATAACTTGCAATGCTCTAGTACACATCAGTGAAATATTATTGCAAGTTTAACAGCTTTACTGATTAGACTACTAGTTGGACTGTAGGAAATAAATATCCCAATTTAACTTTCAGACTTAGTTGAGCTGCCCCTGCCCAGTTTCTCTGTAGCTGAAGCCTAATTGCAGTTATTGGGTGGTACCATCAAGTAGGTGGATTTATAACATCTGTGGCTCCTTTTTCTTAATTTTGTGTGTAGGACACTAAAGCAGAAAAAGGCTGGTTCTGCCTCTGGCCACAAAGCTAGTTAGGCACAGAATCCAGCCCAGGGCCCCCTGTCTGATTTTGCTGTTTCTGGTATTCTTTGTTATTCCATGATTTTCCCCTCACAGGAGAATTTTCCATCTCACATTCAAAACATCAACAAGGTTCCACTTTTTTTTTTTTTAACCTGTAGTGATTTTTAATGAATGGGATCGATTCTGAGTGGAATCCTATCCTGAGATAAGAACGTTTGGGAAATTCATGGATCAATGACAACAGTGTTCTTGAATAAGGCAGTGCAAGGGATAACTTGAAATGAATTTCTCTGTATTTTAACAAGAATTTAAACTATCCATGTTAAACAATCAACATTTAAAACTCAATAGACTATGCAGCTTTAAGAGAGACTTTTTGGTTCTGAATTTGCTGATAAAGACAGCACCTCTTCATTCACAACTGGGATACACCAAAGTCAACTCTGTTGCCAGAAAAATGATTGCCCACTGGAGTAGGAATTATCGATGTACTGTGTCACTACCCATTAACACTTCAAATGCACCATGATTTGACCCCTCCCCCCAAAAAAAGAGGTGGAGAGAAGTGATGGTACTGTGAAAAGGTCTGTCAGGAATGGGAAGGGTTATTATAGCATTTTTACTTTGCTACTTTACTCAGAGAATTGTCATTAATTAGGTTTTTCTTTCTTCTACCCAGAAGTTCTACTAACTTCTAATAAGGAGTTTCTGCACACCCAAAATGCCCGTATACACTGAGGTGCATGGAATCGGGGGAGGGGCCTAAAATTGGGAGGAAAAAAGTGAATGACTAACACTTATGAAATGTTCGGCAAATATTTGCTCATTTGATCCTCAGCACATCACAACAAAACAGAAATTATCAATCTCCGTCAATGGTTCAGGAAATCAAGGCTCATATTCTAGTCCAAAGTTTCTGGTGGGGCCACAATGAGTACCAAAACAGGTCTGACCCCAGAACATTATTATAAATCAGAATGACTGCTTGGCTCTTGGAGGACCTTGTGACCTCGGGCATGCTCCTTTACCTCTCTGATCCTCTATTCTTCATCATTAAAATGAGGTGATGGTACTTTCAAAGTCCTTTCCAGCTGTATAATCCTATTCCCTGAGAAAAGTACCCTTACCAGTCATCAACTTTCAAGCAGTGATAGGCGGTTTGCACTCATAGAAGCACTGGATTACATTCATAGTTTAGGTTTGCATTGTGAGTAGAAACGAGTAGGGAATATTTTAAGCATTTAATGTTTCTCATAGTTTAAATTATTTGAGTAATTAATCACTCCCAGTCAATCAAGTTTTTAAAATATAAAAATTAAACTCACTTTCAAATCAGTTCCTGTTCCTTTTTAGTTATTGCTTTATTTCTTTTTAATGATTGAGAGGTTGTATTAGTGCTGATTTTCATTCAAATGGATGACTTTGAGGAAATTTTTTTAAAGCATGCCAAAAATCTCTTGGTACATTTCTCCAAGTTACTATAGAATGCTTGAATTTGTAATGGTAAAAAGTGCTGTTATAAAGCCATCCTGTCTACTTTTGAATACTTTAATGTTTATGAAGACATCCTAAGTAACTACCTTTTGTCTCAAATCAACAACAACTACAAAAAAACCCTGTGGTTATAAAAGGAGTTATAATGCTATGGAATTAGGAACATTTTAGATTTTTGTCATCTGTGTTAAGCTTGGATTTGATGACACTTATTTTCTCTAAATGATCATACAAGACCTGTGGTCAGTAATATGTCCTCTACCACCATTCACTCACATTTGATCTTTATTAGACAAAGTGCTATGATATCATCTTGCCTGGAAAATAAAGTATCACAAGATTGCTAAAGAGTCAGGTGGAGTACTTCCAAAGGAAGTAACCCATCCTAGCTGGAAATGTACTTAGAACTTCAACAATAGATCCTACTGCAGCATCTGATGTCCCCTCATCATACCTCCTAAACCCACTAGACCTTCACAACTCAATCTATAAATAAGAGAAAATGTGGCAACTGCAGTGTGCCTACTGGACAAATACTGAAACCTATGCTCTTTACTCCTATGTGACTTTTGGCAAATCACTTGGACCCATTTCCTCCTCTGCAAAAACGGGGCTGTTCATTAGTACAGTGTTCAATGGATCAAATGGGACAATGCATGCCAAAATGCTCTGACCTTGTAAACTTAACATGAGAAGAGTACCATCTTTGAAATCCTCTTTCAGGTACCTTGAAAAGCCCACCATGTACGCTGTCACTCAAGTCACCAGGTCGCCCAGACATTTAATTTTTTTTTCCCATTTCCTCACTGTAATAATTTATGAGGAAAGGAGTAAACTAAACAAGGAGGAAAGGCAGTGAACAAGTACACTGAACACACACTCAGGAGGTGCTATTACTGGTCACTGTCTAATAGGACACTGGGGTTTTAGAAACCTAGACTAGGTTTTAAAGATAGATTCAAATTATATGATAGAAAAGGTATATTGCAATGACCTCAGGAGTCTAAGACTAGAACACTTACTCTGAAGAAAGGGCCCAGTAGGACAAATCATATAAATTCTTAGAGGAGCTATTTGTGTTGGGATAATATGTGCATCACATAGAATTTACCATTTTAACCATTTTAAGTATACAGTTCAGTGGTATTAATTACATTCACATTGTTGGGCAAATATTCCAACAATATCTCTACTTTCAAAAATTTTTCAACATCCCAAGCAGAAACTCTATACCCATTATGCACTAAGTCCAAAAGAATTCTGGTGTTGAAGGGAAAATTATTTCAGAGCTGGAAGGACCCTAAGACTTCTAATCCAACCTCTCATTTGAATATGTGCAACTGGGCTTCAGAAAGATCAAGTTTTCTAAATCACATTCCAAGTTACAGTTTCAGGTAGGATTGCAATCCAGGAGCTCTTCTCCCTCTCTTTCTCCCATATTCAGCAATCACACCCTCCAACAGTTCGCAGACTGGGCCAACTTAATCCCATAACATTATCTACATTTTTTATGCCATTTTGACTAGAATTGGGAAAAGAGGCACTAGTCTGAAAATTCCTTTGCATTCCCTTAAGACTCTGGCATTTTGCATTATATTATTTCCATGATATTTCTAAAAGATTTTATTTTAAAAAGGTTTCTCTGTAATAATTATTGAATATCACCTTAGTGTCATGCAATTTAATAGGTGTTTTACATTCATGATCTTTTTTTTCATCCTTACAGCAACCCAGCAAATGGCTATTTTTATTCCCATTCTACAGATGGAGAAACTTAGGCTCAAAATGTCTAAGTCATTTGTCTAAGTTCAGGCAGCTTATACGAGTGAGCAATAAAGTTGAATTCAAAGCCAGAACTGACTTCCAAGCCCCAGCATGTTCTCATATATGATGCTGTCCTCTTCTCCAGTAGAAATGAACACAAGCTTGGAATTTTTATACTCCGTCTTTGGCCACTGTCTTTCCCATGCTCATTTTCACCTGATAAATATCTTTCAAGATTCACTTCAACCATAATCTCTTTCATAATAATAATATTCACTGACATTCATAAGTACTTATTTATGTCCAAAGCTTTATGTGTATTATCTCATTTAATCCTCACAACAACCCTGTGAGATGGGTACTCTTGTACTCATTTAAGAGATGAGGAGACTGAGTCCCAAAGGGAAATGAGTCATTTGCTTTTTCAGCTCTCCCCACCAGCCTGTGACCTCAGCCTCCCTCCTCCATGCCTCTGAGGCCCCCTGTAGCTCTTTATGGCCCTTCTCTGCCTTGTATTAGTTATGTGTTAACTGTACTCATCTGTGTCCCCCTTTTATGGAGGCTGAAAGATGGCTGTATTTACTGTGCTGTGTGCTGACTGTCTGACTTTGTCTTCTACCTTTATTAGACACACCAGAATTACCTATCTCATTAAATGAGACAGTTGCAATGCATTGCCCAATTGGGTCTAAATAGTATAAAATAAAAACAGGGCCTCCCCGGTGGCACAGCTGGTAGAGCGCCGCGCTGTGAAGCTCTCCACAGCCTCTGCAGCGCTGGTTCGATTCCCAACCAGGGAGATGACCACGTGGTGCAGCAGACCTTTCCTGTTTCGCCCGCTGCTCCCCTCAGCAGTGCCTTTGGTCCATCAGCCTGTTCGGCTCCCCACTCTGTCTCTGGTGAATCCTCTCACCCTCCCGTGCCTCAGGCCTGTACCCCAGCCCTTGTATAAATAAATAAATTTTAAAAATAAAACAGTTTTCCTTAGAAAGTAAATTACAGACTTGATGAAATTTTCAAGTATTTTTCATTCATGAATTCTGTCCAGAGTTGCTGGTTAAGAACCATAATAATCATTATAAAGTATATGTTCCCTGAAACTGACTTTGTGGTAGAACTTTGGAAAGAGGGCATCAAGTCAAGTCCCTTTTTTCCATGGACTCGCTTAAAGAGTAGCCAGATTAGGAGTCCTGTACAGTGAAAAATACTATGGGACTTTTTTCTTCATTTTTTTGTATTGATTTTCCAGATGCTTTAGTGTTAAACCATGCCAGAAGTGTTGCAGAGATGAATCACTATTATCCAAAGGCCGCCAGCTTCTTTCCCTTCTGACAGAAGGATAATTCCACGTGGATCAAATAAATACAGATGTGTAGTAATTAGTTCTATTCCCAGTGAGCCTATTTCCAACACACTAAAGATGTGAGCGATTATGGAGCCTCACCCCAACAGCTTTTATCAATTTAAACTGCTAAACAACAGGATAGGTCATAACCCAGCCTGCTATTAATAATGCATTTATTGTGTACAACATTATAAATGAGGTATATGGACAAGAAAAAGAACACCTTTTAACAAGAATAATATGATCTTCCTCCAGAAGCAGCACATGTGCCTGGCCACTCTCCTGATGTACAGTCCCAAGGCAATCAAAAGAATAAAAAATCTCATCTGCGGAAAAGAGGCCTACATTGTCAGCGGCCTCCTCCACAGAGATGATTTGGCTGTGGCAGATATGTTAGATATACCCATCCTGGGTCCGGAGCCTGAACTAGCTCATCTCTATAGTACCAAGTCTGGAAGTAAACGGGTCTTTGAAAGTGCCAGCGTGCCAGTCCCTCCTGGAGTATATGACGTCTATACTCAACAGCAGGTATGTTGGGTAGACAAAGAAGGCTCTCTTCAAATATTTCATTCTCTTCACCTTACAGGAACTTCAGGCTTTCTGGAGCTAGCTCTACACAGTGAAGAATATGTAGAATAATTGAATTGATTTGATGGAATCTACTTCATGTTTTAAAGTATCTTCCTATTGTATAGAAATTCTCAAAATATTTACTGATTTGAATTAAGTCATTGAAAAGCCTGTGAATATACTAGTCTGCTATCAATATTTATGGCACTCACATGGATCAGTTCTTCATTATACCAGCTTCCCAGTCATTTTGTTGGGCCCTAAGAATTGTGCAAGTCAGGTTTAGAAAGCTCCAGGAGTGTTGGCTCCTCAGGAAGGAGTCATAAAGGGAAGGGGGAAATCCTAGAAAAGGGAAGTGAAATGGCTTCAAGCATAAAACTGGATTTTGCCTTGCACCAGGTTTGTGGTTATGCATCCTTCTAGCAGATAGTTAGGGCCTTACATAGTAGAAATGATCTTAGAGTTAGCTTGGGCAGGTGTTCTCCCATTTAACTGCTATCTTTTTTCACAATAAAGAAAATAAAAAGACAAATGGCTGTTAACATCCTAACTTCTGTTTCAGTATATCTCTTGACCATTACTCTGAGCCAAATACAAATAATCTCAGCTACCCACTACTTCGGAATCTAAAGAACAGTGCATGTGAAGCAAGTTGTGAGGGACAATATTTAGGGATCCTCTTCTCTGTCAGTTGCCTGTTAATGATACTAAAACCCAAAATCAAACCTTTCAACAAATCATACTTTTTAGATACTAGTTGGAAGATAAAATTAGCTTATTCACTTGCCCTAACGTGTTTCAGTCTTGTTAAAAGAGTGTTCTTGGGCAATACATGGGCTCAGGAAGGAAGTAGATCTTAAAGGTGGCAGGGTCTTGAAAAGGCACAGGCAATTTTAATAGGAGTGGATGAAGGAAGCTCCCTGGGTTGGTGTGTCACTTCTCTGTCATTAGCCTCCACCAGGATTTAAAGATAACAAAGGAGATTGCTTGATTCTATTTCCCAGCAGAACACTAGATAGAAAGACTTAATACAAGTGAAATGCATTTCTTTAAAATACAGTTAATTTCACATGTATACATTGCATTAAACAATCTTCAAAACTTTAAAATGTATGTGCAGTATTTATATTATATCTTGCTTTCATCTTCAATGATGAGAACTCGGGCAGTCTTTGCTTTGAGATATTTTAGAGTTTTATATGTTGATGAGGAGCATATATGTTGATCAGACTAGTATATATAAAGATGCAGAAGCATTTATTGCAGCAAATCTCCCTCTAATGCTGGTGTTCAGAAGCAGGATTAAAAACTTCCTTATAGACAAATCAGAATTGAGGGATATCATTTCCCCTATGGCATGTGTAAACTACATCCCAATAAACCAAGTTATAACTGAGTACTACTCTGTTTGGAAAAAATATATCTGCGGTCATCAAGAATTGAAGTACTCCACTGAGATTTCTCCAGATCGTGACTACCCTACCTAATCTATCTGAGTGGGTCAGCATTTTGAATTTGCAGATGGTGATGAATCAATAACACTGACTTTTACCGATGTGCATCATAAACTTAAAGCTGGTGAAAGAAAGCTGTGATTATTTTAATTTAGGTTAATAAATATTCCTGACTATCAGTTGGATTTTAGCAGTAGTCATTTTTCTACTTCTGCTCTATACCAACATAAAATGAATGGCAATTAAAATATATATTACATCTTTAAACAAATAGACTCAAACAAAAAATGATAAATGTTTGGAAATAGCATAAAGTCATTAGGTTTATGATTAAGTAATTTACTTTTTAAAAAAATCTAGCATGAGCGCAGTGAGCATTTCCTGTTTTGAGCCATAAAGTAACCACACAGGTTCTTTTTCTGGCATGTGCTCCATATGAAATATTGACAGCTTTGGTTAAATAATCAAAAATGGCAATGCTATTTTAAAGCACTGTTCAATTTTCACTTAAAGATAGCACATAATTCTTTCTAGTGGTGCAGTCTTTATAATAGCATTGATCCTTTTCATTACTGTAGGGGATTCATCAACAGACACCCATTTATAAGATTCTCAGAAGCAACAAATAATAGGATTTGAAGAAACTGACAATAATTCTGTTAGCAGTTGAAACCTCCAAATATACAATATACCCAAATATACAATGAAAAATGTTATGCCAGACACCTTTCCTTACATTGGAAAAAGAATTTTATTGGGTATGAACATGCCAAAGAGCATTTTTATTCCTGCAATATATGATCATAGCACAGTAAAATACAATTAAGCATAGAATCTATGCTCTTAATACAACCTCAAAAGAAAATGCATGTAACGTCAAAAGGCACATTCAAAAACCTTCCTAGGCTGTGCTCATGGCCATATGGTATATAGACCAGAGTACTTGTCATTTAAACACCCAAATTATCCAGACACCACTTGATAATTAGGGAGCTAAGACAATTCCATTTTCACCCTAATTGAATACCTCATGGCTGCATGGGGCTGCTGGGAATCCCAAGTGTGCCCATTTTGAGATCACTTCCATGCTGCTGTATATTATAACATCTCCAGAAAGATTTGCTGAAAGGCACAACTCAAGAGAGCAGATTGTGCCTTTAATCAAAATAAACTCTCATCTTCCAGCTCCAGACTTCAGCAGAATTATAATCTTGAGTCCTTTCATACTGTTTAGTTAACAAAAAATAAATAAAAATCTACTTGGATGAGCAAAAGGTTGTCAGAAGAGGAGTGTTGCAGGGACCTTCTTCAGTACAGAAGACCATAGCCAGGAGGAACATGGGGTGGGCTCAGCAAGGGAGAATGTTTAGTATTGTTTTATTTCTTTGGGGGAAGTATAGACTGGAAAGTCTGATAAAAAGGCCAAACCAAAAAAAATCATTTTGTAATCTAATGAGTTCTTTTTCTCCAAGGCTCTACTAGGACAATACTACTTAGAATGAAGTAATCTTGCTATAGACTTTTGCTCAGACTTATCCCTAATGGTTTATTGACTATCAGGAAGGTTGCATATCTTTCTTCTTTTCTGACTCCTATCTCTGCCTCACCCTTTTCCTCCATCTTTCTGCAGGTTGAAATAGATAACCCAGTGGAGAGGGAATGAGTATGAGTTTTGGAGTCAGAGCAACCTGAGTGGAGTCACTGCTCTGCCACTCAATGCTGTGTGATCATGGGCAAGTTCTTAAAATTTGCTGAGTCTCCCTTTATTTATATATAAAATGGAGCAAATAATAGTGCCTGCCACAGGGCATTTTGTGAGCATTATATGTGAAAACTCATTTAAAGAGTTTAGTTAAAGACCTGGTGGCTCCTACTGAGAATTCAGCAATATTAAACATCATCATCATCATCATCACCATCATCACCATTGTCACTGTCATCATCATGTTTATATTAAAGCTTGTATTCCTACCCCTTAAGCTTCCATGTGGTAATGTCCAGTTCATGAGGGAATGCACATTGTTTCTGGTAAAACACAGGGCAGTATGTATTCTAGAAAAGTTGCTTCTATAACCACTTTATCTCCTTTATCTTTCTTGTTCACATAGTACATGTGATATAATACACTAGGTCAGTTGACCAGCTAAATAAATATATCTCAGGTACATTAATGAGATATATTTGTTGTTGTTGTTTAGTTAACAATAAATGAAAGTTTAGCAAAACACCATATTTCAAGTTTCAAGACGATAACTCTTTTTAAAAATCACTTGAAGAATCAATATGTAAACACATAATACTCTGGAAAAAAAAAGGAAACGATGCAATTACAGAAATTCAAGGATTCTTTTGCCTTCCAAAGCCAGCAAAATGATCATTTCAGAATTACTCATAAATAAGGTTATACTTCAATATGTCTTTGATCTTATTGGTTCCTTCCCATCAGATATACTTTACCTGAAACTTCTTCTAATCTGTCTCAACAACTAAAAGATAAATGGATGAACAGAGCATTTGCAATAAAGACACATGAGAAGTACATCTGCAAATTAATACAATAAGGAGGGATCCAGGGAGCTAGCTGTATTATTAAATGTTGCTGTGTCTTGGTACCCACAGATGATAGAACAGCTGAGTCAGCTGGTGGTTGATCACCTGGAAATCAAACGCTGGCTCTTTAAAATGGACTTTGAGTGCGGAGGAAATGGGACTGCATTTTGTGACGTTCCTTCTCACCTAAAGTGCTACCACTGGATCCAAAAGGAAAGTCGCAGATATGGCCGAGAAGGCTGGAGCAAGAAGTGGGCACATGTGAGTATTCAATGGTGGCATAAACCCAGTGTGAGTGTGTGATCTGTTAGGAGATGAAAGCATTTTCTTCTGGACCCAGCTGTATCACCTGCCGGCACTGAGACCCTAGGCAAGTCATTTAACTTTCTTGGGCCTTACTTCTTGCTTATAAAGTAAATGGAATTAACCAGGTTATTCTAAATGTCCTTTCTTTGGAACCTGAAAGTCTTTATTCATGTCTTCACATTGATTATAATAGTGATTATAATCATCATAATTAGGAAGCAGTTTTTATCATATTCAAATAACATCAGCAGTCTCATCATTTGCTGCAGGTAGGTCTTGATCATATGCTTCTAACAACTGTTGTTATTAAGCTAGCTGTATTTTATCATGAGAGAGAACTTCTATCAGTGAATGCTTGTCACCTGGAACCTAATGTATAATAGCATTCTGTCAGCAGTCATATGTTTTTGAAGACAATTCAAGGAAATTTATGTAACTGCTGGTCCCTGTGAGATGTTGAGAAAATAATACATTTCAGCCAGAAAATCTCCTGGCAAAAGCTGAACAATAGGTAAGACGTCTTAGCATCTGAGTGAACGAACGTGTATAGATTTTTTACGTATATTGGTGGAAGGATAAATGGCACACTATTGTCTATTTCAAACTTACTTAATAAAGTAATTTAGTATGGTTTCATGTAAAAATTAAACCCGTCCTTCTAAAAGTGGCCTCACTGCATTCGAGCCTTAGACTTACCTGTCTACTCTTAATTCCAAATCTCTGTTTTGGCTGACCTCCTGGTGAAAGCATAACTGATTAGGTAAATTCAGATGCAAATTCACTTAACTGACTCCTTCCCTCCCAGTGTACTTAGCGGTGGGCTGTGCAGTGATCTGCATCTGCTTTGAGCTTCCCACTACAGAAGTAGATGAATCAAGACCCAAGTGATAGAAAGGAGGGGCACACAAGAGGGAACCACATTATTCTTGTGAAAGTGAAATGATGAATAAATCTGGAGAACAGTCAGAAGAGAGAGTTCCCTTTGACAAATGTTGCTGTTCTCCCCATGATCTATTCTTGGCTTTTCTTCCCCCTCCATCAGTGAACAGACTAACTGCAGTACCTGTCACGGCCAGCTTTTTACATATTATTTAAAGGATAACAAAATGAATTACTCTTCTAGAAAAAAATAAAACAAGGAAAATGTATTTAATTTTGAGGCCCTTAGAGGTTTCTCTTGTGTTCTCTTTGAACTAGTTTTATTTCATATTGTATGAAATTTTCTTTTTAATGCAAAACTATTTAGATTAAGCCATGAAAATATGACATTTTTTAATTTAAAAAAATATAAGTGTTATTGTGCAAAGTATTTGCTGGCTTCAATATTACAAAGCAAAAACTTTTAAAGAATTCTCTTGACATTTAAACTATAATAAATTTGAAATGTTTGGCTTTAAATTTTAAAAATATTTTAAACATTGACATTTGACTGTGTTGCATTTAGAAGCTTGACAGCACATTATTTATTTTAAACTATACTGTGTTAAGTTGTCATTTGGCATTATTGTTAATATTATTAAATGTGAAACTCTTGAATAATTAATACCTTAAATCATTTTTTTAAACTTAACAAGGGAAAAATAATTATTCAGAATTTTTTTTCCAGTCTGAGGCCTGTGCTTGGCCACGAATACTTAGAAGCCAAAAATAAAATTTAAAAAGCACTTCTGAGATGCTTTTATTTCTTGTAAGAGACTGTTGACATTCTTTTGCCTTCAAAGTGAAATCATATTCAGCGTGGAAGTGAACTGCAATCTCCATTGAATGTAGCTATTGAGAATTTAGGATTAGAATTCTCCTTTGTTCCAGAAGACCATCATAATGGTGCACATTTAGACATCAAAGCATTACTTTATGAGCACAGGCATGTTTTAATGTCCTATTACAGTTTGTAGACCTGTTTCTTTTGATAATGAAGATGTTGTGTCATCAAGCCTAGCCTGGCACATACAAAACATATGCTGGCAGGTTATTAAAAATTTCAGCTTCTTGATGAAAGACTATCCTGCAGGCTAAGAGTCCAGAGAAAGACTCCATTCTGGGAGAATTATTAGAAATGAGAATATGACTGTAAGCACTAAATTATGTTAATACTTACAAATAGCATCATTTGCATAGCAGTTTATGACACGATGCCATGATTTTTCTCATTGGTATGTAGTAGGCAACAGATTAAAAACAGTGCTGTTTATGGGAGTTTGAACCGTTTTGAGATTCTTCTGCATTCTTATACAGATATTGGTTTTAGATGTAGGCGTGATTCGTGTAGATTCAAGGATCATCTTTTTTTCTACTTATCTAATTTATTTGACTGCTTGCAGTTGAGACTTGAAACAGCCATAGAGAGAGCAAATGCTGAAAAGCTATAATCACATTTTGAAAATCAGCAGCATAGATATGTAGGTGATTTTAGGAGAAGCAGAATGTTACACGAAGACCATAGTGAAAATTGAACAAAACTCATTTTTTTCTTGGGGGTTGTTACCAACCTTATCGTCTTCATCCTAGCAACTAACAAAACATACTTCCCCCAACAGTTTCCATAAACTCATTCACTTAGCAACTTATTGAAGTTTAATGAACCTCCACACTGGTGCACACTCCAAACCTCCACTCCCCAGTCGGGGTATTTCTTTTCATTTAATAGTAATAAAGGATCACACAAAGGAAGGCATACTTGGAGAGGAGCAACCTTCCTGGACATTCTCACCAATGACAGAGTAGAGAGAGCTAGATAGACATTTGCTGTCTACCTGTCCTGGTGGCTTTTTCTTTCTGTTTTATGGGTAAAACTTCCTTCCTCCATTCTGGACTGTTGGTTTTGTTAGCAGTGATGCTATTTGTGATGCTGCTTTGCCAGAGAAGATCTTTGTCAAACAGCTTTTCTGCATAAAGATCTAAGCCAGTTTACTTCTGCACAAGAGTCATGAAGCCCTTCATTGGGTCTTTGTTACTCTGGATGGAGAGTACAGGATGTACTTGGTGTCAGTTTTACCACTTTGGAAAGGAAAGAAAAGTATCTCCTAAGTGCTACTATTATAACATTGCCATTTTTTTGCTTCTTCTTTGGTGTATTTTGCTAGACATTTGATATTAATTTGGGGATCACCAAAGGGAAGATAGGTAGGTAGGCAGGCAGGGAAGGAGGTAGGTAGGAAGGTAGATAGGTAGATAGATAAGATGATAGATAGATAGATAGATAGATAGATAGATAGATAGATAGATAGATAGATAGATAGATGAATTCAATGTACCCAAGAGTAGAAAAATAAACCAAATTCATTGTTTTGCTTCCTTATAAAACTGAGTCAGCAAACAAATCACACTATCACAGAAGAGAAGCTCCCAATCAATGCCTTAGAACACCACATCTCCATGGGGAAGCCCCCATCCATTCAGATGGCCTCATAAGTAGGTCATGAAAGCCACTGTAGGATTGGTGCCTTATGTGGAATTTATGTGGTCCCAAAGCACATTGCCCTGTAATCACATAAATTTTTAGAAAAATTTAAATGGAATATTATAAGATTAAAGATGTATTTAATCAAATAAATGCATAATCACTTTTCCCAAACATAGCTGTTTTCATTTTCATGTATTAATTTCCACATGGGATATATTTATACCTACATAATAGTGTGTATACTATTTAAATATCAGATCTTAAGCATTCCCCATGTTTCATCTTCACAATTAACGGCTGTGTCATATTCCTTCCCACTGATTTACTATAATATAGTAAACCTTTCAACTAAGTTGGAAATGGAGGCTATTTCTAACTTGCTTAATACCTCCACCTCCTCCTTCTCCTTCTTCTCTTTCTCTTCTGCTTTCTCTTCCTCCTCCATTTTTTGTGGGGCGAGGCACCCAGGAATGCATTTGTCTCTAGTTCCATGTTGCCACATTACTTCATAGGAAGATAATTAGTGAAACAGTACAAAAACAGTGCTCAAAAGTACCAAAGAGTGCTAAGGGACAGTGACCAAGGTGGGAATCAGGTTACTGTCAGTGGGGTCTTACCCATGCACACAATTGCAAGACCATTCAATTGCACTCAGGCTCAGGGTCCAACAACAACAGAGTTTATTTAACAAACAGGAGATTGGGGAAAAGGAAAGAGTTTCCTAGGACACAAGTGGTCAGCTGTCTCACCCCAAATAGTGTCTGCAGTGTCCAGAAGTCCCAAACAAAGGCCATTCATGGAAGATGAAGTGAGAAGGCAGTAGCCCACAGCTGCAGCGTAAAGGCTGAGCTGGATGCCAGACCAGACAGTGATGGGCTCAACAGTACCAGGAGGTGTGCTGGAGAACCAGAGGCTGTGATTAGCCTTTGCGACAGTGGGCAGAGCCCAGTGGTGCTCCTTGAAGGCAATGTCAGAGGTAGGGTAAGAGGCAGGTGCAGCAACTGAATCTTTGGGAAGGTCCATGGAGGTCTGGCGATCCAGAGGTCTGGAAGTTTAGAACTCTGGAAATCCACAGAGGTCCACTGAATCCCATGAAGGAACTCAATGCTTCTCTCTCTTCAGAGGCCATCTGCTGAAAGGCCTCTCTCTTTGGAGGCAGGCAGCAGAATGCTGGTTCTTCAAAGGTCAGGAGCAGAATGAATTCTTCTTCAAAGGTGGTCCAATAAATCCTTCTCTCTTTGGAGGCTGGCTGTAGACTCCTTCTTCAAAGGTCAGGAGCAGAATAAATCAAGATGGCTTTTGCTCTGCTCCACTTCAGGGTGCCCTACCCGACAAGCCTGATTAGACTATTTTCAGTTCTAAACATCTGACTGGGCCATTTAACACCAATCAATTCATTTTCCATTTTTTAATACTAATAACTAATGAAGTGAGCTTCAACCTGATCGGTCTATTTAGTTCACACTTGATTGGTCTATTTAGCTCACACCTGATTGGCCATTTTAGAATCCTAGAGCCAGATATAAAAGAGGAAAAAGCCCAGCCTGGTCTG